ATAAGTAAAATTATTTTTACTTAGAGTATGTCGAAGACTCTAAGACTTGCCCATAGAAATCGATGCACAACAGAATAATTAGATGCTTTCATCGTAATTATCTAACCATATTCCTACCTCGACCAACATTGACACTTCTCAATAAAAATCTCAACTGGATTTGCAGTTCTAAACATTCCTATGTCTCATTATCAATGAACCATTGCAGTATCCAATTTCAACGGCCAAAAAAAGCCATTACTACAGAAAATCTTTGAATTTAGCAGAGACACCACAACTATGTAAACTTGTCATACAGACATATGGTGATCTCAGCTAGCAATCGCTGAATTGTCTAGAATTTTCTTTGAACCGTTTCCCAGATTGCTCTTGATCGCTCGATTAGATGATTGTAGCCATAATTTGATGCATACAGTGCATAAATATAGACTCGTGCTGGTAACATACTCTTAACTTTTTCCGAACGTAGACAAAAACTAACCAGGCTTAAGACAAAAAATTTATGAACTATTGACTATGTTTCATCTTACACCTTGCTAGCAGAGAGAAAAATTTTAAAAGAGGGTTTGATCTAACACTTCAACAGAAGCCTTATTAAGCCTTATCTAATTCATTCTTTTCAGCTACAAAACAGAGGGTTTCGATACTGACACATATACCCATAGTTTATTGAAGGATGAACTCTCACCATCAATTTGTGAAAATGGGCGGACAAAAATATACTCCACCGGAACCAAAATGACTCAAATGCAAACAATCCACATGCTGTATCAACATCTAGATGGAGAGAAATCAAAGTTATACCTCTTCAATGCGAGAAAGATTGAGCTGTAGCCTACTGTTGATCCAAGTCAGAATCTCGTTCCTTCCCACAAAGTAAGCACTGTCCATCATCCCAATAGTACTCGCCATCCTATACGACCTTCACAGAAGCAACCCAAAAGAAGACTCCTCCTCTGCCTATTCCCGAACCAGTAGTTGCTACGACAAGATTTCAAAGATTTTCGACCCGCAACGATCTCAGAGACCCGTATAAACTCGTAGAGCACGCAACGGACGAAAACTCAATGATGGGTCCTCGAGTTCTTGATTCTGGGTGTCGATAACAACAACTAAAACGAAGAAAATGAAGAGCGAGACGAACGGGCGAGACGAAGAAATGCGAAACCGAAAAGGAGAGAGAGAGGACACAACTGAACAAGACACCGTTCCTGAGCAAAAGGGATTCTTGGGTTTTCCCTCTAACGTACGGAAGATTCTGGAACTGGATGGGGAATTGAAATGGGTTTGGAGAGACTCAATGCAAAAACGAGCGTGGGAAGCTTCTCCTTTCAAGAAGGAGAGAGAAACCGAACACGGGTTCGAATCATTCTTGGATTCTTGATTCCTAATGGGGATCATCATCAGCTCAGGCCTGATATAGGAAACGGAGATTGAAGAAATTTAACAGGCGGCAGGCGCTATCGGCCGTGTCATTTTCGGGAAGATCGACACTGTTTGTTGGTTTGATTGGACGCTTGTGAATACGCTCTGTGCCTAACTTCCAAGATGGATGGATTGATCCAACGTGTGATCGTAACTTCTTAAGCCCACATGCAATGGCTGCGAATCAAATCAAACCAAATCAGATCGGATTGATGAAATTTGGTAAGGGGATTGGGTCGGGTTACCTCGTTGTACCTCGTTGTATCAATCTATAGTTCTCGCGAACTTTATGTATGAAATTCATTTAATTAGTTTTCGAATTTTTTGTTTATTTATCATGTTTTTTTTTCTTTTGGAGGGCCGGAAAGTGAAATACTTCATCAAATTAGTCAAAAGTTATAGGACCCGAGAGAGGGGCTTCAGTACATAACAGATCCCAAAGAGTCGAGGAGGGGATAGAACCCAGTTTGGAGGTACATAGTTTCTCCTGCGGGCTCTAATGATCCAATCTGCAACGAAATTGGCCTATCTAAAGCAATGAAATATCCCAATGTTTAAAAAGGAGAGTAACATATCCTTGCACTTCATGATATTTATCATGTTTAGCGGTGCTAATAAAAAGCGGACTAATTAAAAAAAAGGCATCAACTTTATATTGAGTGATAATTCTCGCCCGAACTTTTTTTTGTCTCATAAAAAATTGACAACTTTCACTTAAATTCCAAATCTGGCCCGTACAATTTCAAAATTTTACATCACAGGGGCTAGATTTGTAACTCGAGTAAAATTTGATGCTTTTTATTGAGACAAAAAAAGTTCGTGCTAGAATTGTCATTCATCGTGAAGTTAGTGCTTTTTTTTTTTAGGAATTAGCACGATAAAAAGCTGGACTTGACTCAAAGAACGAATGAAATTAAATATGGGCCTGAGGCCCAAAAGAGGGTTTCATATGGGCCTATCGATTGGGCCCTTCGGAGCGACCATCGATGAACTTCGGACCTTTCGCATGCTGTTCTTCTTCGCGGAGATGCAGCATTAGGGTTTTTGAGGGCTCTCCTACCCCTTATAAGGCGAGCTTAGAACCCCCAAGCGGCTAAAAATTGCATCTTTCTCGGGCGAAGGCTTGATTTTCCGCCGCCGCCATCCGGTCGGGGCAGCCGCAGAGCTTAGCTTCGCTGGAGAAGAGCCATGGTGCACGTCTCCTTCTATCGCAACTGTAACGTCTCTCTCTCTCTTTCTGTGTGTGTGTTTTTGGTCATGAGCTTGTGTCCCTCTGATTGGTGTCCGCATGCTCTTGGATTCATACCCTTTTGTTCTTGGGACGTTGGAGATGTGATCTGGTGCAAGTCTGAAGGTGTTAGTGTTTCGGGTCTATGATGGGTTGTGTGTGTCACTCGATCTGTTTGGTTTGGAGTAGATCAAACAAGGAGATCTTTTGTTTTGGTTTCTGTTCTTTTGGGGGTGGTGGGTGGTTTAAAGTGTTTTCATTTCGCATTTTCATTCACCGTTTTAGATGAAAAATGTAGCAAGCGGAGAAGGGTGTCTGGTGACTAAGCGTTGTTTTTCATGAGGTTGAATTGAAAACTATTGTGAACTATTGTAGATGCTCTGTTTGTTGGGTCTCCGATCTTTTCGCAGTTGGATCCAGTTGGTGTTTACGTTTAGCGATATCTGCTCATTAGAGCAACTGCAAGATTCTGCTAAAAAGGAAATAATTGAATTAGCTCACATTTGCAGCACCAAATTGAGTCCCGAGTTCAGTATTAGCAGCTTCAGATGATGGGTTGGATCAAGCATGTGCTAACTATACTACTTAGCTGAAGGAGCACATAGGTTGTACTCCATTGTAAAGAACTTTTTTTCTGTAGACTAGGATGGAAATGATGGAAATTGGCACTTTACATATCTCCTTCATAGATACGTCATCAGTCACCTAGATATGCAGCATCTCTGTGGTTGAGAATGAGTGAGTGATTTCTAGGAACCTCTTTACATCTTCATTTGTTTTAACTTCAGATGGGAAGACATTTAAGAAGCCTCGTCGCCCTTATGAGAAGGAGCGATTGGATGCTGAGCTGAAGCTGGTGGGAGAATATGGCCTTAGATGCAAGAGAGAACTCTGGAGAGTTCAGTATGCTCTGAGCCGCATCCGCAACAATGCAAGGATGCTTTTGACCCTTGATGAGAAGAACCCTCGTCGAATCTTTGAGGGTGAGGCTCTTCTCCGGAGGATGAATCGCTATGGTTTACTGGACGAAAGTCAGAACAAGCTTGATTATGTCTTGGCCTTGACTGTGGAGAACTTCCTGGAGCGTCGCCTGCAGACACTCGTCTTCAAGTCTGGAATGGCCAAATCAATCCACCATGCCAGAGTGCTCATCAGGCAGAGACATATCAGGTTAGATATTTAAAGTTAAAATGGACCCTCGGTGTATCACAGATGCAGATGCATGTGCAGGGCCTGTTTCGTATATTGATGCTATGTATAGTATGGAATATCTTCTCAGGATGTTTATTTCTTAGAGGTCTCATATGATACGGTCGTTTTCACTGATGGGTTGTTAAGTAACAGTTGGAGCATCTAGTTGATCTGAGTTGAATTTTAGATGGGCCATATAAATATCTTCTTGGAAAGATTAGATTAGGCAATGGGCAGTGGAGAACTTTCTTTAATGGATATTGGAAAATGGATTAGTCTTCTTAGAGGTTTAAAGGCTGTGAGTCTGGGTTATGATGCTTCTGTTTCATTCCTTTGTCATTCAAAATTCTTGGTAATATTATGCAACATGATGTGTGGAATTTCATTAAGTTTCTATAGTCAGGAGGATGGTGAGACTGAGAGTAGCAGTTTGAACATTGAGTACCACATGTGCTGATCAATCAAAGCAACCGCTTCCTTGCATGTCTCAGGATCCTGCAAAAATCTGAATCAAAAGCTAGCTGCTTGCGTGTTCCCCTCATGCTACAGAATAACATTGCTGTCTTTAGATCGTGGTTGATGTACTGATTTGATCTTGCTTCTAACTTGGCAGGGTTGGGAGGCAAGTCGTGAACATCCCATCTTTCATGGTGAGGGTCGATTCACAAAAGCACATCGACTTCTCGCTTACGAGTCCATTCGGAGGAGGGCGACCGGGAAGGGTGAAGCGAAGGAACACAAAGGCTGCTGCTAAGAAGGCTGCTGGTGGCGATGGAGATGAAGAGGACGAGGATTAGATGGTTGGACCGGTTCTTGTTATCCAAAGCTAGCTGCCATTTCATGGGCCAATTTTTATTCTTTTTCAGCGTTGATGTTGCAGTATAATTTAACTTTGGAACTTCTCGCCGTTCTACTTGGGTAGGGACTCGCTTGCATAATGACTTATTTCAACCTTTTGAACATGGTCAGGTTATTTGTATGATTTGGTTTCAAGGTGACTATTCTCAGCCGCTGATCATGACTTGAAGTTTTGCCAATTGCCATAGTTGAATTGATAATTCAGGGTGTTCCTAAAAGTTTTTAAATGCGGCTGAAGGTTCGATCTTGATCGTAAGGTGTATAATAGGATTGGAATTTCTATAACCACACGCTGACCTTGAACAAATTACATTGAATGATTTGGAAATTTTGAATGCCGGGTCGGTCTAAATGTGAATTACAGGAAGAATTTGGAGTTCTGATTCAATTTAGAACGTTGGAAGGGCAAGCTCTTGCCGTTGATTTGTGGTTGGGTCGTAGGTGGGCAGGCCCTTGACTCGGTCATTTGGACAACGACAAACTATTTAGGATCGTGGGTTTTCGTCTGATGTTTCGGAGTTCCGAGTCAGCTCGAAAGATGTCAAAACGCTTGTTCAAAGGCCTTCTTCAAGATCCATCTCCATCTTCTCCTTCGACGTCCGTACAAGCACATAGGAAAGAAGCTAGCAACTCGAGCATGGAATCCATCAACGTCTTGAAGGGCTATGGCAAGCTGAGCAGCCCCGAAGCTCAATCCCCACGTCACAGAGCCAGCAAGAGACCTCTGATACTCGCCGTCGCCGTCTCGTCGATCGTTCTGCTGACCATAGGCCTCGGCCTCCTCGTCGGAGCTCTGATCCGTGAGTCGAGCACCGAGGAATCGGAGTCGCGGTCGCTCAGATCCAGCTCGGCCCAGTCGATCCGAGCAGTCTGCAGCGTGACAGAGCATCAAGACTCGTGCTTCACGAGCATATCCTCCCTCAACAGCTCCGTCAAGCCCGACCCAGAAGCCATCTTCGAGCTCTCCCTGCGGGTGTGCGTCAACGAGGTGTCGGATGCTTCTCTGTTCGTGCGGAACCTGGCCAAGAGCTCGAACGACGCGCGCTCGAAGGGCGCTCAAGGGGACTGCGGCGGCCAGCTAGACGACGCGGCGAGCCGGCTCGGCGACTCGGTGGCGGCCATGGACGCGGGGCCAGGGGAGAAGGCGCTGACGGAGTTGAAGATCAGCAACATACAGACGTGGGTGAGCGCGGCCATGACGGATCAAGAAACGTGCTTGGACGGGTTGGAGGAGATGGGGTCAACGGTTCTTGATGAGGTCAGGGATCGGTTGAGCAGGTCGAGGGAGTTCATGAGCAACAGCTTGGCGATTTGTGCTCAGATGAGTGCCATCCTAGACAAGTTCGAGATGGGTATGCATTAATCTTTCGTTGGTCGCAAAATCGAGTTCGAGAGGATACATTGATACAGTAATCACAGATTGATGTTGTGGAGACTGGTGTGCTGGTGCCAGTATTAGAAACTCAGTGTGTGTTGATTTGATCTGCAATTGTTATGCGCGTTGTGAATTGTGGGAGATTTCCATCTGTATGAGCACGATCACTTCTCAATGGCAATGATTTATTTATTTGTAAGTTTGCCTTTGTGAAGTCTATGGTGCTCAATCCGTAACTTTCGTAGTATGCAAAACTTGATTCGATTCACATAAGACCGTGCTAGATGCTCTGTAGAAGGCCTGTGAAAGAGCAGTATAGCATTGGAGTGCCTGAAAACTGACAAACTGACTCTTGCTTGGAAGCAGCTTTTTGTTTTCTTGTTTTGCTGCTGGTTTGTCACTGTCCTAATTGCATGATTTGTAGCAAAGGAGCGACTGAAATGAAATCCTTGAGAATGCTTTTTGGTCCATTCTTTCTCTGTGTAGCCTCCAAAGGCGACCACGTAACCGTGTTGAAAGTTATTTGTAGTAGGTGAAGAGCGTTGTGAAACGATGGTTACCTTGAGTTTTCCCCTAGATGCAAAACATACTTTCATAGTGCTGCCACTCGGCACGACATGGCTGTCCGAACCAGATGGACTATGATGGCACGGATCGATTTCTTTTGTTGTCGCTCACTCCCACAGCGGCATCCTTTATTGTTTGTGCCTTCTTCAAGCAACCGGATGAGGCCTGCCTAGGGACAGAGGATGCAGTTTACTCTGTTATTGATTCTCTGCCTTGTCAAGTGATTGTATCTTTAACATACCTTTTTATGAACTTGATCTTTGGCCAGGCATGATTGGCTCTCTCTCTCTCTCTCTCGTTTAGATTTTTATTGGTGTCACACGAATTTGGTTTTAAAGCCAAACCAACAAGCAGACTGAATTATCTCCAAGATGATATGTAAGGATTCAAAGTAACCAACACTAGACGGTGACTGAAATTGCTGGCTATATTTGGTCATGAAATTCATCCACAATATGCCCCAGCCCTCAGTGAAACTGTGAGAAGAACCTGCAGAACCTGTGGCACTGGTTCATCTACCTGCGGTGCTGGTTTGGAGACCTGGGCGACCGCTGGTTTGTCCACCTGGACCTTGTGCTACATATCGGGCATCGTCATTTCTCCAAAAAACATGGGCCAACACAAGCCTTGTGGTACGCGTGCTCGCAGCATGTGAGCAGTAGAAGCACTTTGCCGTCCTTGAGATCCCTTGGCAAATACACAGTCCGTGTTCTTGGCCTTTGTTTCATTGCTGTTGCACGCGACGATCTGGGGTGAGGCCAAAGAAATGGGTTAATTTCAATGAAAGCCAGCCACCAACCTACAAAGAGGAAAGCTAGAGATACTGAGACTAAACTCTAAAAACGTGCAAATTAACATAATGTACCCGAGATTTATCGCCTCTGGGTTTTTCGGATTGCAAAATGACTGTACCTTGTTCTAAAAGCAGCTTTAGGCACATCGTATGCTTTTATCTTCAATTGATGATACCCAGAAAGAAGGTCGATTTTAAAAAATACCTTGGCTCCCTGAAGTTGATCAAATAGATCATCAATCTGAGGAACTCCCCAAGGCAAAACACTGGGTCTAATGAAATCCTTATCCAAAAGCTCTTGCGTCTGTGTTTTCACTTATTTCAATTCAAAAGGTGTCATTCGATATGGTGCCTTAAAAATTGGTGTTGTACTCAACATCTCAATCTCCCTATCAGGAGGCAAATCAAGTTAAGCATTGGCAAACACATCTAAAAATTCTTTGACAATCGGATCATTTTTAAGCTTTACAACATCCTTAATTGTGTCTTTTACACGAGCTAAATACCCACAACAGCCTTACTCAAAAGTTTTTTCGCTTAAGATAAAATCAATCTTGGAAAAGAGCATTTACAACTTTCCAAAAAAGAAAATTCGAGTTGATTTGGAAGTCGGAAGAAATCTTTATTGGAATAGCAATCAATAGTAGTATAATACGTTGATAATCGATCCATTCCCAGACTAACATCGAAATCCTAGATATTTAATGAAAATCCTGTACATTTAACTTCATTAAATATCCAGGCTTTTCAACATTATCAATTTGGAGCACACATCTCTTGAACACACAATCAGCAATCAAGAAAGGTAGGAGTATCAACACGCAATTCAAATTCAAGAGGCTCAGGCAGCGGATCAAGTTTCTTTGCAAATTCAGTAGAAATAAAGGAATGCGTTGCACAGGGATCAAACAACACATAAGCATATCGCTTTCCCTCGCATGAGGCTAGCAGAGGAAAAAAGAAAAGAAGAGAAAAGGAAAAAAAAGAAAAAGTAAATATAAGAAAAGAAAATTAAAAAATTCGAAAAACATCCAAATATTATTAAAAATTGTCCAAGCCAATACTGACCATACCATGTAGGACAGCGAACATCCACGTCAATGATTTCCGACCAAAATTGGCCGGATGGACTCAATTTGCAAAACGTAAAAAGGTTTATGACTCAATTAGCATAATTAAAAAGTTTAGGATTGAATTGGAAAATGTACAACAAATTTAAGACTTTTTGGACAGTTTTTGCCATTGAAACTCTTAGACCTTTGGAAGTTTCACGGCTTGCTTGGTCATCTTGGCTATCTCCTCGGCCTATTGTGCCTTGAAAACCTCCGGTCTTCGCAAAGTCACTTGGAAAAATTCTAATTGACATGATGCCTATGGCAACGAAGAGTAGATGATAACCATCTCAAGAGGCGTTGTATGGACTCTTGTCGGGTTTGGGCCTAGCCCCAAGATTGGGCTTCAAAGGTCGTGTGTCCAAGCCTGCCCGTTACATAAAACAAAAAAAAAGAAATTCAGTAAAATAAATATACAAAAAAAATCAAGATAGATGGACCTAGTCGAGCCGAGTCGGGTCAAGCCCTTCATGGTGGGGCCCACCTTTTAACATCAAAATGCAACGAGCTGAGCCCGATGGGCAATAGCAAAAGGTCTGGCCCAACTGGGCCGAGTTAATCAAAGCAGTGGTGTAGCCTGACTCAGAACAAAGGCTCCATATTTTCACTGAATAATGTGTAAAATTTCAATGACTCAGAAGGAAATAAATCCATTTGATCTTTCTCAGCCACTACTCATGGTATCAATTTTGACTTTTTGGTCCTGAATCACAGCATGGTACAGGAGAAGAACCCATGTGACAGAAATTGTCCGAATTGCATTGCATGTTTCCCCACTCATGTGACAGTACTTGCAGCAGCAACAAAAGAAGTTGGCCCAGCTCATCACTCTTTTTCCCATGTTTCCACATTCCAAAACTGTACTTTTCTTGGATGTGGAAATTGTTTCCACATCCCATGTTTTTTTTTTTTCTTGGATTATGTTGTGCAGAGAGAACAAGAAAAATCTAAATCATTAGCTATTTTCTTTTTATTGTGGAGGGGGACCAATGTGCAGTACAAGCCAAAAAGAGGTGGCATTTTCCACAATTTCCCGTTTCATTCTAGGTAACAACTAAGAAACTTGGGTTAATAAGACAACGTAGATAGATGCTGCAGCAGAAACCAGTGCGTTCATTGAGTCCCGGTTGGTGAGTTATATGAACTCTGAAGTAATGGAGTGATAACACATGTTGATGTTGAAGCAAACATAAAGTGCATTCACTCGGTCAATATGTTTAATACCCTCTGAGATTAGCAGCCAAACATAAAACAAAAGGAGTCAGATAAACTCTGCAGTTAATGTCTGCCATTTATATGTTTTAAAAGAGGGAACTTAGATTCCTGGTTTGTGTCATGTAAGAATATCAATTATGCCCTCCAAAGAGAGTATTCTTTTCTAAGGAAATGATGCTAAACATGGTCATGGGGGACGGTAACCCTGGACATGACTCAATCACAAGACACGGGCACGAGCTCGAACCGAATGTAACGATCGAGAGACCAAAATTGAATTAGCCGCTATGCGTAACTTGGGTATTAGCTTTGATTTAGACTAAATTAACAACTTTATTGCTGTAGTGCTAATAAAAACCAATAAGCCCTTCAATAAAATCCCTAATATTTCACAGAAGGCATTTTTTTCATCCTTAATTAATCATTAGGCTGGAAAGACATGTTAATCCCCGGGAAAAGCAAAAAGTAACAGATATGGTGGGTTAATGCATAATGCGCTGACTACGTGAGAACTGTAACGATGGCTCTCTCTCTCTCTCTCTTCAACTTTTGGTCCTCACTATAAGTTCCCTGCGTTTAAGTAGTTACCAGTTCTTGAACTTCCGCATTAAAAGAGGTCCAAAAGAGCACAACACAGAGATTGACACGCTACAGCTATGTGTGCCTGAATGTTTTACTAGTGTCAATTCATGCAAAGCAAAACGACAACACTCTTCGAACCGTTTCATTCTGAGGGGTTTTCAAAAACAAACTTCGCGTAAAATTCGCTCGAGAGCATGCCTAGCAAGAAAGCAATAACTCAGTAAAGAACAAGCTTTCTCCAACAGATAGCTATCAATAGCCCAGTTTGCTCTGTTCTCAAACTGTAACTCCCCTCGCATTTTGAGGGGTTGTTACCAATTTGTAAGCATTTGCATGAAAAAGAGGCACCAGGTGTGAACCAGAAAGTGAGCCAAAAGTACAGCTATGTGAGTGAATGATCTACTGGTGTCAATTCATGCAAGGAAAGAGAGATTAATCACCATGTAACCGTTTCAATTCCACAAAGAAACCTCCAAACAAAGACTTATCTGCAACCATTATGTTTGAGAAAGCATAATTAAGAAGAAAACAAGCTTTACCAACAGATAGCTATCAATACGCCTTTTCCCATGTTTCTCGCCCCTACTTCCCTTGCGTATTTGCGGGTTACCCATTTAAAGCATCTGCATAGAAAGAGATCCGATTGTACACAGAGAGAGCCAAAGTACAGCTATACAATGAACCTGAATGTCTTCCTGGTGTCTTCCATGCATGAATATCAGACGTCATTGACTAGAAACCGTTTCATAAAGATATGGCCGGTGTCTTTCTTGCCCATTTTTTCCTCGCGTTTAAGCAGGTTACCCCTTGAAAGCTCTGCATTGAAAGAGATCCGATTGTACACAGAGAGAGCGAAAGTACAGCTATAGCATGAGCCCGAATGTCTTCCTGGTGTCTTCCATGCATGAAAATGAGACATCATTGACTAGAAACTGTTTCATAAAGATATAGCCAGTGTCTTTCTCACCCGCATTTCCCTCGCGTTTAAGTGGGTTACCCATTTAAATCTCTGCATCAAAAGAGATCTGATTGTACAAAGAGAGAGCCAAAGTACAGCTATACCATGAGCCTGGATGTCTTCCTGGTGTCTTCCATGCGTGGAAATCAGACATCATTGACTAGAAACCGTTTCATAAAGATATAGCCGGTGTCTTTCGCCCCCGTATATCCCTCGCATTTAAGCGGGTTACCCATGTAAAGCTCTGCATCGAAAGAGATCCAACTGTACACAGAAAGAGCCAAAGTACAGCTATACCTTGAGCCTGAATGTCTTCCTGGTGTCTTCCATGCATGGAAGTGACACATCATTGACTAGAAACTCTTTCATAAAGATATAGCCAGTGTCTTTCTCGCCCGTATTTCCCTCACGTTTAAGCGGGTACCGATTTAAAGCTCTGCATCGAAAGAGATCCGATTGTACACAGAGAGAGCCAAAGTACAGCTCTAACATGAGCCTGAATGTCTTCCTGGTGTCTTCCATGCATGGAAATGAGACATCATTAACCAGACACCATTTCATAAAGATATAGCTGGTGTCTTCTTGCCCGTAATTCGCTCGCATTTAAGCAGGTTACCCATTTAAAGCATCTGCATCGAAAGAGATCCGATTGTACACAGAGAGGCAAAGTACAGCTATGTCATGAGCCTAAATGTCTTCCTGGTGTCTTCCATGCATGGAAATGAGACATCATTGACTAGAAACCATTCGACCAGACTAACTTACAACCTTAATCAATATTGAGATAAAAAAACTAACTGCACCTTGGAGTTTCTGTTAAACAATGCTTTAGAACACTAAAGGAGAATTTACAATTGGCCTATTATGTTCTTGGGTGCATCCAGCATTACAGCCATAGTGCACAGTGCTCTAAAAATTACATTGCAAGGTATGGCTGATTATCAGCACACGAAAAATCAGTCACTTAAAGAATGAATTGAATTATCTCCTGTATTCTACATTACAAAAAGGCAGCTTAAACAGAGTTAGTTCTCAATCCCTTATACCCAAAATGTTAGATAGATGTATCTTCCATCACGAACTCTTCGAAAACAGGCTCACTCGCCATTGCATCCAAGTGATCCTACTGTCACCTTGCTGTCTTCATCAATACCTCAGCTTTTCTGTCATAAAAAAAAAATTGCACAAGTGCTTAGAAGAAAGGTACAGTATCCTATTTTTCCTAATATTAACTGGTGGCAAGTTAATTAACTCTGATCGCTTTAAATAAATTATCATTAATTCATAACAGAGTTTCCTGAAATTGAATTATGAAATAGGAGTGTCACAATAACAATGATCTTAGAATAGGCTGTGCTCATTGATGTACTAAAACGAAGAAATGAAAGGAAAACAAATTGTTTTCTCAAACAACCATCCTAATTGATCTTCCTCAACAAATATCAAAGATCAGCCAGTCTCGACAAACATATAATACTAATTTAGCTTTCTCCGTGATGTTATAATGTCACCTAGTGATAGTATGTTCAAACCTTAGAAGAGGGAAGCTGGTATCTAAACTGAAAATACAGATCCACAGCGGCAACCTGCCATAAATAATCAAACAAACACGATTTTGCACCATACAATAGATTGAGTGAATTGTCAACTGGACCACCGAGGATTTAAAAAAGAGGGCACATGGTTGCACCAAGCTCTGAGACTTCCAAGACACTGGTTGCATAGTCAAATAACCAACTGTGGTCTTAACTGCATTTCATTTCTTTTCCTAAGGGCTTAACTGCATGATCATGAACACAGACTGAGCTTATTGTCAAATGGCTGGCCATGGATCTAATAAAGATGTAGTGATTAAAGAAACATAATTGGCCAAATCTCTGAGACTGTCTAAACACTGATCGAAGCAGAAGTAGCCAAAACTAAAACATGTTTCGATTGAAAAAGTAATTACACACAAAGCAGATAGGCATGATTACAACTGTAATTGTGGAAGGACTGTCGCACCTATTGCGATAAAGATACTTATAAGGATATATAAATCAATAACATTCATGGCAATTTCCAAGAGATAAATTTACTAGGCATTAGGATTCCAAAATACCATTTATATGCAAAAGCATGTAGATTTGAATTAGAAATTCTTGAAAATTTACTGCATTAGTCTAATCAAATCTTTAGGCTCTTTGATTCTTACCCTGAGAACCATAATTTCTATCAGCCAGTCTTTCAAAGATGATCTAATAGCAACCCATCAGAAATTCAATCGTCGCTTTTATGCTAGCCCAGAACTCAACTTCGACAGTACATTGTTTTGCTTTTTCATATTTTTTGTGGTGACTTGCCACAGATAATGTGTTGCCTCCATAGGTTTGACATTTAAGTGCATAAAGTGCTGCCTCCATTGGTCCATCCGGGATCTACAATTTCATGGCTAGCACTTCAAGGTCATCAATAACAAGAACGCAAGGATTTCAATTTCTTTTTGTGCATAACATGATATAATGTACAAGGGATTGAAGGTTTGCCTTCTAACTCACACAGACAATTGACATGCCACACGTTTCTGCTCATTAGGCAGCTCAGAAAAGATGCATCTTTATATTGAAAAAGATTAGTTCATCATTTCATGTTAGGCTGCGCCTTTCCCAGACCCATCTTTCAGAGGATATACAACTTCCTCTTGGTTCACCCATTCATTTAATATCATGCATCTTGCGCTTTGAATTTGGTTCATAACATCTTTTGGGATATTCGATTATGAATTCGTTCAACCAATTCATCTGATTGTAAAGTCAAGAACATTCAACACACGAGATTGGCAAAGATTTGAACAGTTCGCGGTGATGCCTCAATTTTCTGTGAAGAGCAGACATTTTTACACAATTTGGTGCTTCTGTTATTCACCTGTACCTCTCTACATGGCACTCCCTTAGGAAAACTTTAGAAGGTAAATACGACAAGAAAGACGCAATGCGACAAAACTAAATATGTAGCGGAAGAAAAAGAACTCTCCAGACCCTCCTATTAATTTATTTGCAATCTAGATTACTTAAGAGCAGAGATTACCATCCAGCTGACACCCTTCTCTATAAAAGCCGTCCCTTCCATCGAGCTCAAGCGGCGCCACAAGAAGCTGCACCAGAGCCTCAGCATCCCATCACAGCACAGTTGTACACAAAAGTACCTGATGGTTTTCTGGCAAGCAGCTTCCACTGTGGTGGCCCTTCACTGGGAACCCAGGAGTTGAGTTCAATAATTCCACCCCCTAAAGCCCTGGGTCCGCCGATAACAACTATCCTCTCACCACATCCCCGAAAAGCAATGCCCCAACCATTCATTGACATGGCACGCTCCGGCAAGCTTCCCACCGTAGACCATGAGTTCCTCACCTTGTCATATTTCCTGACCTCCTTCGCTGCATGATCAGCTGCGTAGAGCTCGTTGTTCACCACTGCAACCAGGGGAGGAGCCTCAGCCGCAGAAGGAGCCTCAGTCACCCCAGTCCCGCCATTCCGGGCTGGGAACATATTAGGTATCTCCCTCCATGTCCTGGTCTCCATATCGTACACTTCTCCGCAGGTGAGAGACCTTATGTTCCCCGTTCCAGTCCCGCCGATCACGTAAAACTTCCCATCCATGAATACCCCAGAGCACATCTTTCTGGCTTTATTCATGTCTGGCAGCATCTCCCACCTTCCGGTGTCCGAGTTATATAGCTCGGCGGAGCTCAGGACATTGCCTCGTGGATCACAACCACCAGCTAAGATTGCAATTTCTCCGAGGCTGGCTGACCCGAACAAGCACCTAGGCACATTCATCTCCATGCCCGATGTCCATGTGTTCGTCAGGATGCTGTACTTGTGTATGATATGGGACATTATCTCCTTTCCGAAGACGAGGAGTTCGGTACCGACAGCCAGCGACTCCTTATCGGAAAAAACGAAACACTCGTTTGTACTCATCCTGGGCAAGCGCAACCAACGGCTACGAATGGGATCAAATGCCTCCCACTCGAGGAGATCGCAGGAGAAGTACACCCAGTGTTCGACGATCCCCATTTGCCTTCTCAGCCGGTAGAGCTCGCCACTCTTGATCAGAGAACGAAAGCTCCGGTTCACAGATGCGAGGGAGCCATAATCAGACCTCAAGCAGCGGAGGAGGCAATTGATGGAGTTGTCGCGGCCAATCTGATGGATGAGGGAACTCGAGTCCTCTTTCTTGCCGGCTTGATGCTTGTCACCAACTCGAACAGCTTTAGAAAGAGAGAGATCGTGAGCACCCTGCATTGTATCCCACCTGTAATGTGTGTCCAGTGGCCTGGAAAACTTTGTAAGTGAGAATTCATCTGCATCATCCAATTGTTTCGAAAGCTCAAGCACATGAAAAGTATTATAAATCCATCCGCTCTCTTCCTGGCACGAGCTAGGCAAGTCTCGCACAACAAGGTAAGATAGATCTTCCAGCATGTTGCCAGACTTTTTCTACTTTCCAAGTCCAAAGGGCTTTCCTTCTTGCTCATCAAAAAACACAACGCATTTCGAATCAGTCACGAAAAGCTAGTCCGCATTCATAATGGAACCAAGCACAAAACAATCTGCTCGGCCTAATACGCGATCTCCGGTGGGAATCGAGCAAACCCCACTCACGTAATTTTCAGAAGCAGAGATATGAGATATCCCAGGCAGGAAAAAAGCCATAAACACTCGCGATAACAAATTAAGAACGGATCTTCGAAACTTTCTTCTTTGCTTATCGTCTCTCCTAAACATTCATGCAAATGCTACCGCGAGAACAGAATCAAAATCCCGAAAGTTCCCGTATCCCGAAATTTAACGTCTCGTTCATTTTAACTCTCGGAACGGATCACAATTACGTGGGAATGAGAAAAAATCGGATCTTTATCTGCCCAAAGAAGAGGGAGTCGAACAAAAAGAACTGAAACGAGAGGAACATGCAGGAACCTCACAAACAAACAGAATTCGACCGAGAAACGCATTCACGCCGCTCAAAACGAGACACACCAAGCAATCCACGGGTTCGACGCCGTAACGAAGAGAAAACCAAAAAGCACGCCACGAACCCAAGATTCCTCCCTCCCTCCCTCACCCACCTGAGCCGACGAGAAGAGGAGAAGAAGGAACGTTGGCGGGCACTCCCGAAACCATCGGAACCGCGGAAAAGAACGCCACCCGCAACGGCCGGCGAGGGGGAGATAGAGAGAGAGAGACAGAGAGAGAGACGAAAAATCTCTCGGGGAATGCGTGCGTGCGTGCGTGCGTGCGTGTGCACAATGCATGTAGAGAGAGACAGAGACAGAGACAGAAAGACAGAGGCAGAGGCAGGCAGAAGCAGAGGAGGAGGAGGCAGAGGAGGGAGAGAGAGAGAGAGAGAGAGCTTACACGTAGGAAAAGGGCGGGGGGGATTTTCCTTAAATTTTTCCCTTTTGGGTTTTTTCCTTAAACTTTTTCCCTGCTCCGTTCGTTTTGTTTTTTTGGTCGTGTCCCGGAATTTGGGTCGTCGATGGTGCTGTCAAAATCCGTCCTTTCTCTCTCTCTCTCTCTGTCTCTCTAGCTTTCTGTGCGAAGAATCACAGGCGGAGCCACAGCAGCAGCAGCAGCCAGCAGCAAGAAAGCCCACAGTCGCTTCTTCTCACTCTAGAAAGCGCGCTTTCTCTCTCTATCTCTATCTCTGTAGATTCTCTCTCTCCTCGCTATCTCGCGTAATAATATTTTTTCTCTTTGGGTGGGCGGTGGTCCCCCCCCGCAAGGCAGCGATGCCCATTTTATACTCGCGGCCCGCGCGTGGGCGTGGCGTCGCGTGCGCCCCGAGCCGCGCGTGGGTCTCGACAACCCCCGTCCCGTTCCTTAACAGAAAGCGAGCGACGTGACGGGGCCCACTCGCCACGTGGCCCGCCTCTTTTTCCCCCACCCGCCGAGCTCGCCGTGGGGCACTAGCTGCGTAAATTTTCCTATGGGCGAATATGACGGAAAAAAGTTTACTCGTATTTACCCTGTGAGCTGGTATTCGTGTTACTAAAAAAATCCCAGATTGATACATCAAGATTGCGTTTACCCATAACTAATTTTCATGTCATCAGGAGTGCGAATGATAATCATTCTCTTTCATAAATCAATTTCTGGACAGAAATAGATTTTTATATTTATATTCCTTGGACAAGTTTCTGAGCCAAAATATCCATTCGATAACGACATAAAATTTCTCCCTCTTAGACGGTCGACCCCAATCTGGATACAGTCTACTGGATCTGAGACTTAATCCTCAATATCTATTGAAAATCAGCATTTGGTATTTTGACATTGGTGACAGCAGATTTTAAAAAGGGTATTGTCTTGGACATCGAGCTAGGGGTAAGCATGATCCGGATAGGGGATTCCCACCATGGAACCGGGAACCGCCTACTAAGAACCTATTTCGAAAAATTGAAACTGAGAACCGCCCGTTGATTCCATGGATCCACTTGAGAATCGGATTGGCGGTCCGGTTCAGTTCCAAAGTGGGTCTTTGGAACCGGTCCCACCAAGTTTCACTCAAATGGAGGTGATTGAGAGCGAGAGAGGGAGGTACTGAATGGCCGGAGACGCAACCATGAATTGATGAAAGTTGAGAGTCGAGACTGTGAGTCAATAGACAATGAGCTTAAGAATCGAGACCATGATAAGAAATAGTGAGACGAGACGAGTAATTAGTTAATGGGTGTTGAGCTTTAAATTATGGATTTTAGGATTTTCATTTTTCTTAAAATGTTTTCTTCTTTTTTTATTGGAAATTCTTCTTAAAAATTATATATATTACCGGTTTAGTCCGGGTAGGCAGGTGGGTGAGTGGGTGGTTCCACGCCTAAAACCGGGAACCAGATCGGTCTCCATGAGAACCGCTAGTTCCCGACGATCCAGGCGGTTCTCGGTTCCTTTGCACACCCCTATGTCGAGCGGCAGCGGAGGACGGCAGGTGGCAGGCGTCGAGCGAAGATGGCGGCGGGAGGCAGCCGGCAAGTAGCAAGGGCAAACGATGAGAAGAGTTTTTATTTCTCATTTTTGTTCCAAAAATAGAAAAGTAAAAAAAATTTACTTTTCATTTTTGTTTCAAACCTATTTTTGAAATCAAAATTTGTTCCAGAAATAGAAAAATGAAATTGTGTTATCAAATAAATTTCTGTTCCAAACATATTCCCGGGAGCAGAAAAATAAAGAACGAAATGGTTATCATGTGTGCCCAAAAATCCTAAAATTATTACGCTTTTAATAAATCCGCCCTCCGTTAGCTTTTAAATTGCAGACGTGAGAAAACCCGTGGTTAACAACTTGTTTGATCGGCATGGAACATAGATCAGATTGTCGAAATTCGGCATATATGGGCCGAATAAGAAGAAAATGAACCGAGATTGAAAAAAAACTACTTTTGCCCTAATAGCTTCTTCATGTTTCGAAAATTTGCTAAAGTCCCCAATTTTGCCGCGACCTTACCTTAAGATTGTGATAGATCTGTCACGGGTGCAGGAGTTTGGAATTTCTTATGACACGAAAATTAATTTAAGATGAATGTCAGGGGTGTACAAGTTTGAGATCTTTTTGTGGTGCGAAAATTAATTCGACGGTAAATGTGTCAAGGATATACTAATTTGAGATTTTTTGTGATATAAAATTAATTTATCTTGATATAGCACGATTACAAATTTGGGATTTATGTGTCACAGGTATACCAAAATAGACGAGATTATGGCGGGACAAGGGAGCCGCGAAGGGGGGAATAGAAACCGGTAACGGCCGTTCGTGCACGTGTTGCGCCCAAGCCCCCCACGCGCTGCGTGTGGGGGGGCCTGTTTCCTTTTGGTGAATTTTTCGGTTTTTTTGGCATTTTCTTTCTCTCTTTTTTCTTCACTTTTTGCATGCAGGAAATCCGAATTGTCATTTAATAGCCAAGAGAGAACCGGAAAATCGTGAAGCGGTGCAAAAATCTCGTTTGAACGCGTGGGTTCACGATTTTCATGTTCTTTTAGGGTGGGAAGTTCCTTTTTCCTTTTGTCGGTTTTCTTTTTCTTGAAAAAAAAACACAAATTGGTGTAATCGAGCTCCGTTTGTTTTCGGAAAAATGAATAATTTAAAAAATATTTTTCTTTCTAAAAATGATCATTTGTATCGCTCGAAATAATTGATTTGTGGAAAATATTTTCATTATCGACAATGATTTATGTTTAAACATTTTCGTGGACAACCAAAATATTTTTCGTTCGCGAAATTCTTTTTATTTTTTATTTTTGGTCGAACGTTCACTCATTTTTGTAAGTGGTATAAGCGATCAATTTTAGGAAAATGTTTTCCAAATTATTCATTTTTTACGAAACGGACGGAGCCTTGGTGTTTTCTCTAGGTGGCAGCTAATAGGGAAGAAATCGTCCTCACTAAGCACAAGTTTCAATTTAGGGAAACAAAACCGGAGTCAAATTAGTAAATATTCAATATTAGGGTCCGGTTAATTGGGCAAGCACGTAAGTGGCCTCGAAAAAAAATGGTCGGTTCGTGATATTTTGCCCCATTCTCTTTTAAAAGCAAAGTGGTGCGGCGGAATGTTCGATTTGAGTCATGACCGTTTAGTTGTTTTTGTAAAGTGAATTTGTGTTACGGAGTGTTCGGTTTGAGTCACAATTATTCCGCAACGCCCCCAACCTGAAGGTCCGACCATGGCCATAGTCATAAGGTCGCTCCACACAAGATATGCCGTAAGTAGGCAGATCACACGGCACTAGCCGTTCATAGTATTCTCACGACATAAATCGAACTCGTGATAGACGAACAACTCCTTTACCAATCGCTTCGTGTTGAATTTAAAGCGTTGCATCGAATTTAATTTGGGAATTTCTTGATGCTTGATCTATAAGGAAAGAAATCCAGATGCTAGATCAAATATCGGGGTGACTTGTTCCGTTGCTCTCCTTAAAATTTTTAATTAGTGCGAGTTACGCTTTTTGGTTCGAAATAAGTTAAAATATGGGTAGCTAATAAGATTTAGCAAATCACTGAGGTTTGTCTTAGTGACCACCCTTCCTAGGTGGAGAATTCGATTTCGCACTTTCTTAGGAAATTAGGGGTAGGGACGTTTAGTTTCAAATGTGAGTTTCGACGCAGAGCAAAAGTTTGAGAGTTAGAGTAGGACGATAAAAAAAAATTAGCAACAAAATTAGCTCCACAAATCAAACTCGAGGTATAGTCTATCTAGGGAAAATAGTCTTTGCTTGTAAGCTAGCACACAAAGGCATCTTCTTTTTATTCATTCTTCGTGAAACGAATAGAGCCTACAAAATTATCACGGGTTCAACACCACATAGCTACAAACAGTTTCAAAGCCCAATGGTTATGCCACACCTCTTTTTAAAACGCTATTTCTCATGTCTGAAAATAGAAATATGCAATCAATAATTAGTAGATCCACTGCTTCTGCTAAGCAATTTGTCCATATGGATCTTCTAAACGTTGAAAACAACTTATCAATGATGACTATATCTAAAATTGCGCTACGCGACTTTTTTGCCTAGCAATCTTTCACGCGCTAACTAATCGGTCTATGTGAAACTGTATCCGACAGTCACGCTACGTGCCTTTTGTTGAGCAATCTTTCACGCGCTAACTGAAACCGAAACTATCAACGACTAGAGATCCGACAGCATCGAGCCACCAATTGTGAGGAAAGTGCGACGGTTATGTAAATTGATTGTCATTTCGTAAATCAAAGAAAGATACGCCAATCATCAGTCGAGCGATACGATCACGTCGAGCATTAATTCGCTCTAATCTTCTTCACATCTCATTCTACTTTTGGTATGTGGGTGAAAATTTGAACGTTGAACTAAATCCCTAAAACTAAGCTTATAGGTAATAGTAGGATCCTTTCACAAAACTTGTAGTTGCTAATGTAGTAAGTTTATAGCTGAAATTAATGAGCAAGGTTAGCAACATTTATATATTTTTTAAAAAGGGAATATTTGCACATTCATGCAAATACAATTAATTCAACCAAAAAAATGGGCAAAAAAGATTAGAAAAGGGGAAAAATATAGACGTAAAATGAACTTAACCACAAACAAGCCGATTGACTTTCGGGCTCAACGTGCAGTGTTACTCTAAACAGCGGTCTCATTTGAATTGATAGTGACTGCTTTTTTATCATGCTCTTTTCAAAGCTTTTTAATGCTTTAAAAATGTAAGAAATATAAAATA